GATAGTTGATTTATACAACAGAATAAAATCCACTTTGCTTTCGATATGTTGTTTTTTGTATTTTAGGATTTGCTATCATTTACTGAAAATCTTAATAGTTTCATTCACGATTATTAACTTTATGCAAGAAATAATACAGATTGTACTAATTTATGTAAATCTTTTGTATTTTTTGTTTGTAATTTCACACTAATCTCGAAAAAAATATTGAAAAAGCAAAATGTTTAGTCAGTGGAGTGTGTTTAGAATTCCAATAAATGAAATTTCCTACCAACTATACGGAATTATGCATAGACAAAATAAGAAAATTTCTTCAAAATTAGTATCTTTGTTCACACACCAGAACAAATTTTTTGCGTAGTTTTCGAAATTATACACGTTTATCAAAAAGAATACCAGGAAACAACAAAACCATTACAAAGTTCACGAAATTTCCTAAAAAATTTCCTTTACCTCAAAAAAAGAACAGAATTTACATGACGTACTAGAAAACTAGAGAAATTTTAGTACTTTTTTAAACTTTAGTGTACGTTAATGTAGGTATAAATCAATATAAATTCAGATACCTAGCGGCAGAGACTGTGAGAATAACCATTATTTTCAAGAAAATGGCTGTGACTTTCTGGCAATTGATATAATTATTAGAAGTTGGCGGAAGTTTGAAGAAGTTGTTTTACATTAAACTATCCTCATACAAAAAGAGATGTATACGAATGGATATCGCTATCCGCAGGAAATGTAGAAAAACTTGACAATTAATGTGCATGATTTTGATGTGTTTTGATACATGAATGATTCGGTGATGATAGGGCACGCTGCCTTTATAATTATAGCAGTTTTTTTCAGATATTGAGATTCTTAAGAAATTACGGTAGTTGCTTTGAGATTACTGACGTTTTATTAATTTTGTTTGTTGTAGTCTGGTTCGTTAGAGAATTAAGTTAAGATCGATGAGTAGAGAAGTTTAGCCTCGGATAATGGAAGAATTTTGCATTGTTTCAGTAATTATCGGGAAATGCCTCATATTTGTGGGGAATGTGTGAGGTTATGGCTGTTTCTGAAACTTTTATGCGGTGAGATTTTTGAAGTTTGTTTGGAATAATTTATGATTGACAAATGCATTATTTGTGGAACGTATTGTTAATGTCCATGGTTTTATATGGTGTGGGTCTGAATCTTCTCTTCATTCACACCCACACCCACTCTATCTTCAGATTGGAATACCTTCTAAATAGTTCTCTTTGGTACAGATATTAGATTCGAATAGCGTCATATATGAAAGCATACATACGACGAAATCATTCACTTATATTTCTAGAGGCGTCTTCGTTCAAGGTTTTTATTCGCTAAGAAGATTTTCTTGAAAGTACGAATACATTTTTTAATTAGATATTAGTTTTTTTGACACATTTCTCTTCAAAGTTCTCTTTGATATTTCTTGATTATATATATATATATATATTTCATGCATGATCATGCAAGTAAATGAATACAATTTGATTCATCTAAAAATCAGTTTTTGCGTCTGGTATGTTAGTAGCGGGAATATCGACTGGCGAATGCAAGAAGGTAGAGTGCGTCGGGAAATTTATTGGAAACTACCATCATAGCATAATTAAATCGCACATGTTTTGAAGTAGGTGTTTTTCTAAATTGAGCCAAGAGATTATCTTCAGATTTGCCATAAAGATTTGTAGTGAACGAGCGTGATTTAGTTTCCATCGATAGAGATTCACTATTCCAATTGATTATAGATTTATGCATGGAGGAAGTATTATTGTCTATAATACTCCCGTTGATCCAATCATCGGAATGTGGATCGAAAATTGAAATGTCAGCTTTGTAACTCCATGTCCACAGTCTATGAGTCAATCTGCCAATTACTTCTTTCGATGGATAGACAAGCACCTTATAATTGTGTCTGGGTCCCCAGTTCGGTTCGAGACGGTATTTAAGCTCTGATTCTGTGATGTCATAGACCGAGAATTGGGTCTTTCTGTAGAAGGTAGATTGGTCTCGCTTGATCACATAATGCGTTCGTGTAGCATGCGTGCAAGTCACGAGAGTGATTAGCAACAATAGCATTAAAGCGATGATAGTGCCACCAGACATCATGCTTTCTTCAAACCAAATGATTCAAATGTGAGCAAGTAGAAAAGCAAAATATTTCATATTATATATATATCGTTCTCATCCAAATCATTCAAATTTGTGTCAATACTCATAAATAGTGCAGCACAATTAATTGTTAGTCTCAAGAAAGCAATTTTTTTCTGACTGTGATAATGAGATGACTCTTCAGATAATTGCTGCTTTTTTATGAATAAACATGTAGAATTGATACAAGCGAAGATTAGGTGTTGTAATTTTTTATGATCAGAAATGATGCTGAAAATAGCTTTTTAATTACTGAATCATCGTTGATGGATGAATGAGCACGTCATATCAAAATATAATATGTATCATTCAATGCATTCCTGTGTTATCGAAAACGATAAGTGATCAATTAGATGAGCACGTGCTTGAAACACATAACTGTGACATATTGATTTGTAATCATGAGTTGTCTCTTCTATATCGACTTAAATTCATTACAAGTTGATTTTTCCTAAAGAAAAGTGCTTGTTCTTGCAAATTTAACCCTTTCACGGTGATTCGATTTTCCGAGGAAAATAGCTTCAATATATTAGTTTTCATGCGCATCGCATGATAAGTCTTTTATCATGTCGAACTGAATAGTTACTCGAGTCTATCTTTTTCTATGTTACACATATTGTACAATAACAATGAAATAAAGAAGCGAAATTTTAATTTTTTCTTTTACATTCTTTTCGTAGTATTATGTTTTACTCATCGACATACTATACATGCCTAAGACGATCCAAAAAGTCGTATCAAAAGGTGGCATTTGAGATGATATTTGGAATGTCAACAGTACAAGTAACGCTAATCGACAGTCGATTCACGCGATCCTAGACTGAAGTACTGGACATCAACATATTATTACGTTTTCAAGTGCATTTACCTTAAGAAAATCGTGGGTGTGGGGTGTGGACGTGAGTGTAGATATCTTTTTATCACCCACACCCACACCCTTATATACAAGAGATAGAAAGAGAAAGGAGAGAGAAGTAAGAATAAAGGACAGAGTGAGTAGACAGCTACTATCGATCATGAGGTCAGAATGTCTAGCCACACGGTGATCGAATACTCTCACATCAATGAATCGATAGAAGGTGCATATAGATCGTAGTCTTATTATCGGCACACTTCTACATGTACTCATGTCTAAATTTGATGATGTATTCATTCAATTCAATCATTATGAATAATTCATAAATAGTGAACAAATGTTGATTTCTTCTCATGCTATTATCTAACTTTTAGACGATGATGAATCATGAAAAGATCATAAAAATTAAAGTATGTTCAAATTAGTTTATCAAATTTTTTCCATATCGATCTAATTATAATATAGGAGCATTATTAAATTCTTCGAATATTACAAATAATAAGCAAAACTTTTCTCTTTTAATCTTTTTTTTTTCTTTAGATAGGAAATATAATCGTATGAGTCATCCTTTTCAAATGACTTATTTTTTTTTTGTTGTTGTAAAGAAATGTGAGTATTGACATTGTATGTGTAGCATGTGTTATGAAATAGAGCACTAACCATTGTATTTAAATGTGAAAGCAAAGAAAAAAAAAGAGTCAGAAGTATTACAATGCATGTCGTTGGTGTTGACGTTGGTGGTACAAATACAGGTGAGTATTGCTTACTGATGTAAAATGTTCTTTTTGTAAATTATTATAGATGCGGTCTTGCTACGAATTGAATCCAATCAATGTAAGTCCTAAAGTTTTGTAAGATAATTAATCGATAATTTGTTGAAAATAGTACCGAAAGTGGTGGCTACGGCTAAAAGGGTGACAAGTGCGGACATCTTTTCGGGCATGCTTCATGCATTACATCAAGTTATCAATGATACTGAGGTAGCTGCTATCATGATAGGTACGACACATTTTATCAATGCATTACTTCAACGACGAGGATTAGCAAAAGTATGCACAATACGTTTATGTGGACCAGCAACACATGCTATTCCTCCAATGGCTAATTGGCCACAAGATTTGAAAGAAACAGTATATGAGACAGAATATTCAAGGTTTTTTTTGTTTTTTATGTTGATAATTTAGGTTGATGGTTTAACAGCATTTGTATCTGGTGGTTATTTTTTCGATGGATCAGAAATTAGTCCATTGAATGAAGAAGAAATTCGTTTGATAATTCGTCGAGCTCTTGCTCTTGATATTTGTACATTTTGTGTCAGTGGTGTTTTCTCACCTTGTCGAATGGATCAAGAAAAACGTGTAGAAGAAATTATTCGTGAAGAATCACCTACAGCATATATTACGCTTTCTCATGAAATTGCAGGTCTTGGTTTGTCTGAACGTGAGAATGCTTCGATACTCAATGCTTGTCTTCGTCCATTAGCTAAACAAACTATTGAAGCATTACAAGGTTCTCTTCCTCCAAATGTTCCTTGTTTTCTTACAAGAAATGCCGGTACTCTATTATCATCAGAAGATTCAATTCGTTGGCCTGTCTTCACATTTGTCAGTGGTCCTACTAATTCCATGATTGGTGCTGCATATCTTAGTGGTATTAAGAATGGAATTGTTATTGATATTGGAGGAACATCAATGGACATTGGTGTTATTGTAAATGGAAGACCAAGACAAACACATGCAGTAAGCACTTCTTCGTTATTTTCATTTTTCATAAATTATTTATTGAAGAATGTACGATTGATCGATGATATTCGAGTAAATATTGCCGTGCCTGACACTGTTTCTCTACCATTAGGTGGTGGTACTGTGATTCATGTCAATGAAAAAGATGAATCTGTACAAGTTGGACCAGATAGTGTAGGTTATCGACTCGATCAAGAAGCATTGGCTTTTGGTGGTCAAACAATTACTGGAACTGATATTGCTTTAGCTGCTGGATTAGTCACCGAGGTAAATTTCAATTTAAAAAGTATCATTCGATCTAGTTTCCAATGTAGATTGGTCATTGTTCTGTCCAACTCTCTACTTTTATTGTTGAACAAGTACTTGATTCTGTCAAACAGTTAGTAATAAGAAGTATCGAACGTATGAAAACAAATCCAGAACCAATTCCTGTTATCTTATGTGGTGGAGGATCAATTCTCATTGATATTAATCAACCGTTTCCAGGCGTTACACAAGTAATAGTATATTATAATTATTTTATTTGATTATTCACTTCGAGTTTCTTTAGCTAATACGAACAGATCATTATGCCGTTTGTAATGCTGTAGGTGCTGCTCTTTGCTCTGTCAGTGCGAGCTTCGATGCAATTATTGATCTACCTCCATCGTCCGTAGATGGCGGTAAACAACGTAAACATGTACTTGATCAATTAATTGTTAAAGTATATGAAAAATGTGAACAGAATGGAGCTCAATCAAACACTATTCAATTGATTGACTTAGAACAAATACCATTAGCATATCATCCTGGTGAACATACGCATCGAGTTCAATTAACTGCAATTGGACAACTTGATTTGAATAAATTCAAACGAAATGAACAAGAGAAACGAATTCAAAAGTTCAATACAAAAATAAAAAATGAACTATCGACTGCTATCAAACCACCAAGTCATATTGATTTGACAAAAAAACAACCTATATTTGATGAGAATGGAATTTGGTGTATCGATGCTATTGACATTGAATATATTGCCTATGGAACAGCCATTCTTGGTAAATCTGTTCATTTCATTTTCTTTTTTTTTTTTTTTGAAGAACCAATACAAATTCTATTTTAGGTTGTGGTGGTGGTGGTGAATCATATCATTGCAAATTATGGTGTCTTGAAGTTCTTCGCGAAGGCAAATACCAAATGCGTGTAGTACCTCCTTCGTACTTTTATTCTTCTTCAGATTTGATAATAGATGTTAGTTTTATGGGTGCACCTACTGTCTCTCATGAATTATTACCAAATGGTCATGAATGTTTAGAAGCTGTCAATATTATTGAAAAATATCTATCGAAAAAAATTGTCGGTATTTATAGTGCAGAAATTGGTGGTGCTAATGGTCTGATGGGATTGCTTGTGGCAGCAAATAAACAAATACTTTGTATTGATGGTGATGCTATGGGTCGAGCATTTCCTTGTCTAACTCAATTTTTACCTTTTATTCATGGTTTACCTGTAACACCTTCTTGTTTATGTGACGTACGAGGTGAAACAGTGATCTGTACAGATGATATAATTTCTACTTCACAAGAATTGGAAGATGTATTCAGAAAGGAATGTACTAAACGAGGTCTTTGTGTTGGTGTGGCATCACCTCCAATAACTGGTGAACAATTACAAAAAAATATATTGCATCATAGTCTTTCACGAGCATGGTTTCTTGGTGAGTATTATTTATTTATGATTTATATTAAAATATGAATTTTTTGATATAGGTGAAGCAAAGTTCAATCATCGTATTGATGCTATTCAAGCTGTAGCTCGTGCTGGTCATGGTCGTGTACTTATTTCTAATGGTAAAGTAATTAATATTGAACGACATACTACTGGTGGTTTTGTTCGAGGACATGTTTCTATTGAAACAGCAGGTCGAACACTTATTATTGATTTTCAAAATGAAAATCTTGTAGCTCGTTTTAATAATGGAGAAATTCTAGCTAGTGTACCCGATTTGATTACACTTGTTGAAGAAGATTCTGCTGAACCAATTGCAACTGAAATAGTCAAATATGGTTATCGTGTTTCAGTACTTGTTCTTCCAGCACCTGAACCATTAACAACATCGCAAGCTCTTCAATATGTCGGTCTTCAAGCATTTGGTTATGATTTTCCTAATTATACGTATACACCATCACATGTCTCGATTAAATCTGTCTGGGATGTTTTCTATAAGTAAAATGATAATAATTCAAGAATAACAATATTTTATTACATAGATATGTAGTGACATTTAATGTAGACATATTTTTTAAATAGAAAGTTTTATTCATGTGACAATTTGATTGATTATCAAATAAAATTTTTGCTTAGTTCCAATTATATTAAACATTTGTTTTCATATATTTGCTCTTGATTTAGTTTAAGTTTTATGAAGGTATCTAGAACCGAATAAATATATTAGTTTGAAGTAATTGCCTTTGTTATTATTTTCGATTGCTATAAAAGATTCTTCATTCATTACTTACAAAAATACATTTATCCAATTCTCTCGTAACTCAAATATCAATTCAAATAATAAAAACAAAACTTTGTACTATATTGCATTGTTATTCAGAGAATTCATTGATTTAATCCTATAGTCGTCAACAAAACTAATCCTATCTGCCTGAAGCATCAACATAGAATGAATATGTCTCCTAACCTTGATTACATTATCCGAAAGTGATATGAACAACGATCTTTAAAAATATAATTTTGTAGCGACATATATTTTTATTTCATATTAATTTTGTTTATTTCATTATTGAATGAATATGTTGAACTAGACTATCAGATATTTTTTATCTATGAAAAATAAGACGATGGTACTCTTTGCATCTAACACAAGATTTTTCTGTTTTTCTTCAGATAAGCCTACAATACAAAACGGTTAGTTCTGAATCATTAGTACTTCGATGAACTCCACAAACAAGAACTTAATTCGAAAAAGATTTTATTGCATTCAATGAATTGGTATTCGTCATAAAATAACTGTAGATTTGATCATATACAAGTTTTAAAATATTCATTCAATTGTTGGATTATCATAAATGTTTTCTTCGAATGTAGAAATCAGAAGATTGTATTAACTATTTATTGGCGCTGAGTAATTGACAATGCAGAAGAGATGTGAGCTTTTAGGAGCATCAAATAGAGAGTTATTAGAGAAGTCGCCGTGGGAAAGATATTTTTCTTCATTTCAATATCAGAATGATAGTGAAGAAATGTGTCCGAAAATAGATAGAATAAAACAATCTCTCTATAATTATCAGAAGCAGCTACATCATGTTTCCTATTTTAATCTCACAAAGATTGAGCTTACAGCTTTTCCAGAATGATTAAATGTTGATGAAATTCACTTGCTTTTTAAAAATCAAGTCAAAGTATCAAAAATTCAAAAACCATTTAAATATATTCTTAATTTTACAACAATAATTCAAATTGAATTGTTTAATGAAAAACAAAAAAATTCGTCAACAAAAGTTTATCTATCAAATCAATCAATATTTTTTTTTTCCGGACAAATAAAATTAATAGATTTCTCTGTAGAGTTTATTAAAATACACATATATTTGATTTCGAAAAAAAAGATTAAGATGAAATCTAGTTCAGTACTAAATTTACAAAAATCAAATTAAGCATTGAAAAAAGTAAGTACAGTAAAAAGAATCATGACTATAGCAAAAATAATTAGACAAAGACGATCAATAACCATAGCTACAAATTGCCAATCTTGAGATTCATCATCATGTTTATCTACTTGTCGAAAATGATTAGTAAGAATAGCAAGTTGAGAAATAATTATACGTAACTCAGAACGAACCATTTCCATATCACATGTATATAATTCTTTTGATAAATTATGATGATGACGAGAACGTTGAATTTTTGTTACTGATGGTACAGAAAATTCTAATAATGAATCTGAATGTTGTTTTTCATCATTTTCTAATAATTCTAAAGGTTCTTTGTCAATATTTATAACATTAGTCGATAATAATTCGAATGTATTATTCAACAATAGTTCCGAAGGAATCTTCGAATGACGATTATCAATCGATCCATTTATATTATTCGGTTCATGTATTGAAGTAGTCCATTTACGACGAATTGCACGCCAACTTAAATCATGTCCAGGACGTTTCATACACAATAACCATGCCAAATAATTACAAATATATTTACGAAGCTGAAATAATTTCTAAAATGATATGATTTATTGATTTTTGAAATATAATTTACCCATAATGGCATTGAATAATTTTTTGAATTTCGAAAATGAAGTGATATTACTAATACTGATGCAACAACTGAAATCGTTGACATAATCATAACACACATGAAATAAACGGTAATAATTGGTATAGCATTTGAACTTGGTGGCATTATGTCTGACAAAAGTAGACTGAACATAACAATAGTAAGAAGAATTGTAATTTCTAAAAATTTTTGAATATATAAAAATAAAATTCTTTTATTAAATTCTAACTCACGCAAAGTTAATTTTTCACCACTACCTGGTGCTAATAAAAATCCAAGTAGTGTCATACAACTTATAAGAAAACAGGGTACTACGAAAAAAGAAAACAAAAATATTAATTTAAAGATTAAAAACAAAAGATATTGTGTAGTTTGTATTTTATTACGAACGATATTTGTAAAATAATAAAGAGAACGTCGACGCATTCGAATAGTATATAGTACATATGGATACACAGTTGGACAACATTCATATTTGGTACCATTGTTTGTTGCAGAGAAGTCTAAAGTAGAATGACTAGAATAAAATGCATATAAATCACATCAACTACCTTCTAAATCCCATTCAGCACTTTTGACATATGCATCTAATTGACCTTGGCTACTTTCTGCCGTTAGATTAATTCCTAAGTAGATAAAAATGCATATATAATATGCAGAAACATTTGACATTTTATCTCAGATAAAGAAAAGATTGTTCAATCACATACCAGCGTCATCATATGTCCAAGGTCCAAATTTCAACGCACAATATTGTGTGTCCAAAAAAAAACAAAGAGAAATATTCAAGATAAAAGTACGATACGAGTGAAATATTTTTCTGATACTTACAAATGGAAATGCGGCAATATTAAATGAACAAATTGATTTAAATAATATTGGCGGAACATAAAGCACATCACCATTATATTGTACAACAGCATTGACTTTCATTGTAGTATCAAACTTTTCATCGGCACTTTAGAAAAAAACACACACACAAAAAAATCGTTTTTCAAGATATCTATTTTTAGAAAAATAATTACCTATTGTATAGAAGAATATCTGGTGTCCAAATTTGTGTACTTGGTATTCGTAATGTTTGAATATTACCAAATTCTTCTGGTTGCCATTTTAAACTATAATCATTCCACATCTATACATATATATGAAAACTAAGATCAGATATTATAGTTAAATATACATACGATAGTCATCCAACCACTAATAACAATAGCTTCATTTTTTCCATCCTATTTATATTTCAAATATTGAACGAACATTAAAATATATATTTAATCTCACTTACAAAATCAATGATGTGTTGTAAAGCCAAATTCATAGTTACAGGTAATGTGTTCGAATCATTTTGAACAGGTCGTTCAATTGGATTGTATTGATTATCAGTTAATAGATATTTCAACAAACGACGTTGATCAGGACCTCCGACTAATAGTTATCATGTTTTCTTTTTTTTTTTTCAAAGAAATTCATTAACTCACTTATTAAATCGGAACAGTAACATATGATCAAAAGAAATATTTTTAATTGTCGTTGGATTTTAAGAAACATTTTCTTTGAAACTAAAATATAAAGACGTACAATTTTTTATTCATCGATTAACATATACGATACATTTTTGAGATCACGGTGACAATGATCTAATAATAACTAAGTGATAATTGATTCTTATTCTTAGGATAGAATTCTGTTGGATCGATTTACTATCTGAAATCAGTTTGGATTTGGATCTAGTCGATGAACTCTATTAGGTAGACATTATGTCTCTTTTCTAGGAGAAAATTCAAGAAAAACAAAAAGCACCTTTACTTCTAACTAAGTACACACTCGATTTTTAAACTAATATCAATTGTATGTTTATAGAATGCATAATTTTCGATTAATCTTAGCGTTATAATGACTTTTTGTATACATTCTGACAGAGTATATGATTGATTTAAATTAATACAGACATATTTTTTTTCTTCAAAACTAATTAAAAAACGTTCTTAATAGTGAAAATCAAAATGAAATCACATAACGATAAATTTCAAAGTATAGTCAATCATTTCGATATATTCAACCATAATACAATACCTTGTTATAATATCTATACGAAAAATAAAGCAAACATTTCTGTATTAGTATAAATCAAATTTTTATTTTATGACAGTTTCATTTGTTCTTAATCATTGAAAACAATAGTTAACACCTATTATAGCACATGAGAAATTATGATGAGAAAAAAAGAAATCTAATAATTATGTGCAATGTTATAATCGTTGAACTCACGTGTAAAAGATAAAGAAATAATAGTTATCGAATATTATTCTCATGTAAATATAATTGCATCGGCAATCCTATTTCGCAGTATAAATGAAAAACGAAAAAAAAAAAACAGATAAACATTAAGTAATTAAAGAACGAGTCACATTATTTTGTCATGGTTGAATGACGGAAAATATGAATAGAAAAAAAAACAGCAGCCCATGTGACGATAATGATAATTGTATCTGAAGAGAAAAATAACCCCCTTCGTAAATTTCCTTACAATTCATTGAACTTCATGTTTAACATGTAGACTTTTTAAAGTAATGGACAGCCATCATCGAAAATAATACATCATTTTATTAAGAAATTCAATTTATTATACAGAAATTGTTAACGAGTTTTTTTTTGCAGATTTCACTATACTTTAATTCAACAAATTCAATTCAATCGGAAGAATTTGTATAATTATATCTGATTTTTTATGAAACTATTTATTAATTATTCGAAATGAGATTGTATATTAATTTATTTAAATCTATTACAAATATCAGTGATTTTGAAATATTAAAATAATCCTATTTAATTTATCTTTTACTAATTATTCAATCATCACACTTCATTGGTTTCGAATTCCGTCTAAAAAATTTTTTTCCAGTTTTAATGTTTGTTTTTTTGCGCTTATGTATTTGTTTAATGCAATAAACAATATTTAACTTGGCCCTTATATTGTCATATAAGGGCCAAGACTTGGTACAATTACTTCTATTTTAAAAGGTCGTAGACATAAATCAATAGAAACAATGAATCATTTTATGAATACGTGACACTGATCGTATCTTGATTTTCTTTAATATCGCTATTACTATTTTTTTTTCTTGTTTGAATATTCACTTATACGTAGATAGTACAGCTGTTTGTAAAAATACCTGCACACCTTTGTCTACAGATATTATCTTCTATGTATGTCCTCTTTGAATTATTTAATATTTCCCTTGTTGATCTTTAGAATAAATAGAAAATAAACATAATTTTTTCTTAGACATACTAAAATTATTTGTAAAAGAAATTTCAACATTTTTGATCTCTTCATCTGAAAAATGTTGGAATTCACCAATTTTTGTTTTCTGTATTACCTGAGCATTCGATTATTTGTAGTAAATCAATGATAACGAACTGTTAAGTGGCGTAACTAATACATTTTCTCATTAGAAGCGTCCCTGATGAAAAAGTTTTTCTAAAGCAATATCGTTCTTTTCATTGCTTACATGGAACAGAATAAAAAAATAGGTGATTTCAAGCATATAAACATAATAAAGATCATCAAAATTGTGTAATATGTTTTTACTAATAAATTTTTTCACTTTACGAATATCTATCTCGATTATCTTCATTTAACTCTTTTGAATAAAAACAGTCTGTTTTAATTTCTTATTAAAGTGACAGATAGTCCTTAATAAAACACTTGTTCTACTACATTACTCTAATAATCTCCTATATATTGACAAAGCATGGAGACAAATAGACTGGATCACTTGAGAATGTTCTCTCGTGAGAAGTCGATACAATGAAGAAGATGATGATATTAATAATAAAAAAATGCAGAGAATAATACTGAATAACTTTCATTAAACACAATTGTCGGAAGCAACACTTCAGAATTTGGTTATTAAAGTGCTTGAGTTAGAATAATTTTATATTTAGTTTCATATTTTGTGACATACGATCTACAAGGACTGTTGAAGTATAAAGGTAGAAATTTTGACTGCGCTCCCTTTCGCAAGTTTGACCGATATCTAAGCAACGAGTCATCACACACATGGCAGACATGCAAGGGACGGCTGATCACAGACACCTTAACAATGCTCCTTCTTCCACTTCTTGCGTTACAGACGGTAAAACAATAACGTTCTACGGGATTATGTAAAAGGATGGTGAAGAAATATGCCCCAAAATAGATAGAATAAAACAATTTTCCTATGATTAGCAACAGCAATTACATCGTTTTTCACATTTTAATCCTGCAAAGTTTGTGCTAACAGGATTTTTTTGATTGCAAAGACGACGATAGATGTTTCAATTATGAAAAAAAAAGTTTCTTCTAAAATTCATGATGAACACCTTTTCGTATCTACTATACTCCAGTTGATACTATAATTACACCAGCTAACAAAATAGAATACGACTAGTATGAATTACTCTTGTGCATCAATATATTAATAAATATTTGAAATTAAGTTAGACATAGTCTTTTTTGTATAAGCACATCAATCAAACTAAATTGCATATAATTTTGAGAAAATAGAAATTAAATTATAGAAACATTCTTCAATTTATAAAAGTTGAATACGATCTTCAATTTGACGTAGATAGAAAAAAATTTGCCAAGGAAATGGACATTTTTCTAGATTAATATTTAATTCTCGCATATTTTTAGTCTGTTCATTGAAATATTGAATCTTTCGATTATCACAATCTAATAACAGTTCAATAGTGAAAGAAGTTTGACCTTGTAAATCACTTTTCATATTCGTATTATTAGAATGATACATTCCACTACGATAATAAGTATCATCATTCGACCATCCATGACATGAAGATGGCCATTGTGTAAATTTTTCCATTTTTGAAATAATTCCAAAAACAGTAGTATGATACAATTCAGTTTTATCTATGTTGAATTTTATTTTGTATCTACCAAATGAATATTCATTTTTGCCACGAACATATGAAACTATAGTTGAATCTCGTTGAATAGCTACGTAACCATTATCATCAATTTGAACACTTCCAAAAATTCTCACAAGTTTTTCATCATCTTCAGATCGTTGAGTTATTGATTTAATATTTAGTTGAGAGACAAGTGTTATAAATGGATCTTCATGAACAGTCACTGTTGGATGAACATCAGCAGTAACATTGGTCTTAAATTCTTGTAATTTTGTTTTCCATAGACGAAGATCTATTTCAACAAAATCATCATCTTCTCTAGCCTTTCGTAATTGTTCGGCAAGATGACGTAATTTTGAAGATGTTGTTTCTAAATGCATATAAATTTTGATTAATTTTATTTTCTATATACAATGTATTACCATGCTGAAGAACAATTAATTTTTCAATTTCTTGTCGGGTTTCGATTGCTGTTCTTTGAATTTTTATAATTGAATTTTTTTCCCATTCATTAACTTGTTCTATTAAATGATGATAATCATTTTGTTTTTCTTTCAATTCAATCATTGTTTGTTGTAAAGTATCATGTTCAAAAATAATTTCATCTAATTGATGTATAAGAATATCTCGATGTTCATTAGAATGTTTTCGACAAAATATTTGTGAACATCCTTCACATTTAAAAACACCAACACCTTTATTTCCACATGTAGTACATAGAGGTTTCATAGGTGATGAAGACGCCATGAAATTCTTGATATGTACGCCAATAAAAAGTAATGCAATGTTGTTGTTAACGTATTTTTTTTTGTATTTCTTTTCAAATAATCTGATGTTGACAATAGAACGTAAGAAAACAGAAAAACAAAATTTTTCCTTCTCTAAAACAGAATAGCAAACCAACGTCATAAGCAAACTAATGTTTATAACAAGAAAAAAAAATGTAAATTTTGTTGATTATTATTATATAAAGCGTAGCGGTTCCGAAAAGATTGAAATTGAAAATTTAAACTATGCATGTTTCTCATCATTGGATGGAAAGAGAAGTGAAAAAATAGCGAAAAACTCTGATTAAGGCCCATGAAAACTTGTAGTGTGATTATAGTTCAATACTTCAATGTGTATTTTCATAATCATTATGGCTTTGAGCTATGTCCCTCTTAAATGAGACTTTTGCTATAACAGTCGAGTTGTTATATCAATCATCTAGTACGATATTATTAAATTATCCGTTTCAAAGATACTTCCTAGGAACTGTTGATTCTGAAGATTTCTTGGAACTGTCGGCCTCTAATTATTGCCGAAAAATTGAATTCCTCAGTATTGCATCGTCTATGCATTTTCAACTCATATGTTTTTCAACAAAATCGGTGGTTCAAGCAGTTTGCTATTTTTTTTTATACTAACTTTCTACTGATTTTTCTCTTGAATTGGTATTATCTGTCGTGAAAACGTCGACTTCTACTTAGAAAAAGCTAATCTAAATATACCATAATATATGATTTTCGATAATGCTGCAATATCTTCCATTGTCTCAATCTCTTAGCTAATAAGTTGATAAGTGTGATATCAACGATTTAAACATGCTCGCGATTACAAGGAAGAATTATTTTGGCTTAACCCTTTATACCCTGTTGGATCATTTTTGACCCATTCATACAAAGTTTTGCAGAAAATACAGGAAGCATGGTGTTGAAAACTCCCAAAACAATATTAGTACGGAACTCTATAAACTATCGATTGGTAAAAAAATATTTTGTTTCGTTACTCTATCTTCGAGATATATGACTTTCAAAATTATCGATTTTGAAAGAATTTAAGAATAACAAAATTTCAAAAACAAAACGGTTTTTCACTTACACACAATAGGGATTTCGAGGCTGTATTGTGTCATCTATATTGTCAGAAGTGTCTACTATTTAACTAAATGCGTTTCAAAAATTTCAGAGTGACTTGGCAGATAAGAAATGGTAATATACCAGATGGATTCTGAAACGACTATTGAACGGAAAGAGAGAGAGATGGCGGATACCATGAATATATTATTCGTAAATCTAATCAGAGTAGCAGTTGAAACTTCATTGATGAAATAATTACTTAAAGAAAAATGTGTATTTTTAAAAAATCTCTGTCAAAAATACATGTGGTGTTTAAAAATAGCTTTTTATATTCGTAGCTTTTCTTTTTAGATTTGAATCTAATAAAAAGGAATAGAACGCACATTTGTCTAATTAACACCGTCATAAACAAGAAAAGAAGTACGGCTTATAAAGCTGCTCCATCCCCTTCTCTGTCTCAATGGTCACTGCGGTTATCAAATTCTTCTGAACAAAAGGTAGTGCGTCTGATCGATCTGCCCGTACCATTGGTATGTTGGGGAGACCAATACTCTTTTTTTGTGGTAATTTTATCAACGACGCTTCTGGAACTGCTTCAGGGTATAAAGGTTTAACTGATGACTTTTTCAACGGTTTGATTTGTCAAAAGAATTTAATTTTTTATAGATTATTCATATTTATCACATTGCGTTTCAAATACCATTACCATTGCATAGAAAGTTTTTCAAATCAATAAGAACGATTTAGTGTGAAGGAACAAAATGTTCAAGTGTTAGTCTGATTTATCTTATAAAAAAGACTCCTCTGGCAAATATTTTATAACATAAAAATATATTTTCAAAGAAAATAGTGAGTGCAAATCTCTCGCAACCGAGGACAAAAGGCGTCAGACTACTTTCCTAGTGTTTCTTAACAAGGGAAAAAGGCACTGTACGGCATTAACAATAAAATTTAGACTGTTCTAGAACATTCCAAAGTCTTCGTC